ACTCACACCATCATAAATCAGGGCAATAAACACCTTAATGTTCCCTCCTTGTGGGATCTGCATCCTTGTCTCAGGCACAGGACTTCTTCCTATAAGTAAAGGCTCTTGCCTGGAGAAGGGTCTCATTTCAAACTCTGTGCTTCGCAGTAAAAAAAACAAAATGCTTCCCTATTCAGCCAAAGCAACCAGAAACGAGATATTGAATTATCTGAATAGTCTGATTCATAGCTCTAAGGATGACTCATTTTTAATGAATCTGTCCTACAAATAGATTCTTCCATCCTCTGTCTCCCTCCCACATCTTAACGTAAGGTCCTCAGAACAGTAACTGAAACCCTGGAGCATGCAGGCCTCACCTGGGACCTCGTCTCACCGAGTACACCTATGTTTTATATTTGTGAACTCCTCCTTCCCAAGATAATTCTTCTCCTGGGTTTATAGTCATTGTCAAGTTTTCCTTCTTTTCTCTAGAGTTCATTTCCTCACTGCTGCACTCCTCCTGCAAAAGTCACCATCACTCCTGGCCACTCGACCCCATAAAAGCTATGCCTTAGCACCTCCTTCAATCTCTTCTCTCTGAATCACCAGACACTTTCTGGTGCTTTCTGCAGTCTTCATGCCCACCTGGGTCTTCAAGCACTTATATGAATGACTCCCTTTTTTCACACACTTTCTTTTGCCTGTTAAGTGTTATGCTCAAGGTTCTTTTTCCTAATTCTCCAACATGCTCTCCCTTCTGGCTGTGACTGTTCCTCAAGAATGGAGCAATGGCCTCTACTCTTTCTGTTCTTCTACCCTTGTCAGTCCCACCTCAGCCCATAGCTTCCAACTTTGGGACGAGATCTCGGAAATTGGTTGTCTTTGACCAAGACTTCCTAGCTCTGGGTACAGATCCACCCAGTTGCAGACTCCTCCACGGAGAAGTCCTGGCCTGGCCACCAACAATCATTTCTTCATGAACTCACCCTCTAAAATCCCTCTCCTATCTCACCCCTCTCCCCATTCCTGCTGCCACAACTCACCTTCTCCTCGGCATAGCACTTTGCTTCAAAATTCCACCCTATTCAACCCTTTCCAGAGGAAATCTGGCTGTCTGCTTACAGGTTTTAGCCCCCAGAATAAGCAGTAAGCACCCTATTGTGAGGCCCAATCTTTGCTGACTGTGCATTCCAGGGGACTTTGCACATAGCAGGTGCTAAAAAGACATCTTTCACCACCTTAACTGGAATGGCACTCGCTTTCTTTCATGTTCTCTTATCATCATTCACTCTGAGCACCACAGTGCCAAGACCTTAGCTAGATACGGTGGATTCTGCTACTACTGCCTCTACTAAAACTAATACTACTAAAAATGGTAGCTGTCCAGCACTCACTCTGTCAGGCACTGTGACAAGTATTTATGGGGATTATAGCATTTAATCTTAACCCTATGAGATAATATTAAACCCCATTTCCCAAATGGGACATCTGAAGCAGAGGAAAATTGAGTAACTTCCTTGCCTTCAAGGAGTTTAATTAACCCTGCAAGAAAGACAGATGGTAAGAACAGCATAGCCTGGGTACCAAGTGTCTTGAAAAGAAGGCACAGTGTACACAGGATTACACCTAAGGGGACATGACTTAGACCAAGGCCCAGGGGTACTTCCCTAAGGAAGCCATGCTGAAGTGGGCATCCAAAGGAAGAAATCAGAATAGGCCCGCAAAAGAGGAAGGAAGAAAAAGCCTATCAAGAAGCCAGGCTAGCCTGGATAGCTCACAGCTTTACAGGAAACTGATTCTGTTAATGGAAAATGAGTGGTTTCCTAAACAGAACCCTATTCCCTGCCATTGTCCTGTGCCCTGGAAATGGAGACCACCTGCTTCAGTCAGCCTGCCTGGGGGGTTGGGAACCAGGTTCTATGACCAAGCAGAGTTCCTATTTTCATTCACATTCTTGAACACAGGATGTCAGGATGTATTCATAACCACCCTTTTAGAATCCCACTCTCAAAATCATTTGTGAAGCCATATTAGTTTGAGAGCCTCATCACTGGTATTAGCAAAATGTAATGACAACTGATATGGTAGATTCTAATTCACCAAAGGGCAGAAACTCTCCCATAATCCTACAGAAGAGCTCATGTCATCAAGTCAAAGCGGGTTTGTCTCTGAGTGACAATAACTATCATCTAATAGTGGTGATTTTTGACATCACCTTCTCAACAGAACACAATAAGTTTTTTTAATTTGCAGCATCTAAGACAACTCTCTGGTGTTTTTTTCTTTTTCATTTGCCAGTAACAAAATAGAATCATCTCAAGCCCTTTCTTGTCGATCTAAATTCTCTGTGTCTCCTTTACCGTAGCCAACAAACTATAAATATTCAGGTTCTGTGACATCAACGCAAACTTTTATTGTGCTGTTAGCTTTGATAGAAAGCACTGCAGAAAGTTGTTTAGGAATTAAATATCTAAAACAAGCTATTTTAAAATCCAGGGCCCTCACTATTTCATGTCTGCAATGAAGAAATTTCATCTTGGGTAGAGCAAGCTGTCTTTCACACCATATGGCTAATGGTGGTGCATAGCAATTAGCCAGGCTGATTAATGGTGAACAGACTCTAATTTTATGCTTATAATTGAGCCTGCATTTGCACCCCTGGTGCAAATTCAGCACATCCCAACTTCCACTTACAACAGGCAAGAAATCAAGAGAAATAGGATCCTGTGGAAAGTGAGAATTTTTTTCCTAAGGCCCCCTAAAGAGCATCAGATTTGCAATTTAAAAGACGGTTAGCCACACAATAGATGACAGGTTTGTGTAATGGGGTCACGGCAGCCTGGTAAACAAACAGTACCCCCTTACACATCTATAGGCAGCCAAGAAACGGTAATCTGTAACATTAACGGGATGACATTTTGAATATGGCTTTTCCCTCTTAGCCACATGGTTACAAACAGTATCATTTGCCTTTGGTAGCTGGAGAATTTTGTTTTTGCTATTTTTATGTTTCTGAAAAATAGAGAGAATATCAGCAGTAAAGCACACCACCCAGCATAATAAGGTACTTTGGACCAATGAATTTTAAAAACAAGGAAAATATAAACTGTATTAATAGAGGTTGGGCTGGGTGTGAAAGGTATAATATATCTTTAAGCATTTCAAGAATAAAATTATTTCTAGCACAGTCCAAATGTGGAGCTATGAGATGCAAACCTATGAGATAAATATCGTACATATATTTATATACATATGTCTTTATATAAATTTGGCCTACTGCTTGAGAGCCATCTTACCGACTATTTACTTTTTTGCTAGAATCACATGTGGTAGAACTCAGAAAATTCAGTCTAATGACAGGCCAATTGTAAGAAGCATTTAAAAATAACAGAGATGACTGGAAAAATAGTAATACAAAAGAGGTCATGTTTTAATGTTTTTCAAAATGGGTTTTACTCTTAATTCCGAAAGATTCAACTCAGTATCTCACTAGCCTGTCTAACAATAATTTTTTGCCTAGTAATATAAGAAATCCATGACCATATTTTTTGATTCAGTTACTCCTTTACAGTTAGAAAAAAAAACCAACCTGTTTTTGAAATAATTAACAGGTTTGACATATCACCAGAGTGAAAACTTGTGAAACTCCATTTTTTAAGAAAGGAAAAAAAATTACAATTTTGAAGACACAGAAGTTAATATTGGGGATTTCACTGAGAAACACATGAAGCCCTTGTGATTTTATTTCCACTTCTAGAGTTTTAAGAGTGTTTTCCCCACAAGTCCGTGAGCAACAAATAAAGGCCACCCATGCTGAGGTGGCAGCTGAAGTCCTAACCGATTGGTCAGTGATAGTCAGCAGCCAAGTCTACTTTGTGCCAGGAGGAGTCTGCCTGGCTAGCCAAGCAATTAGTAGCCTTCCTCTGATGCACAGTGGCACCTTCAAGCTTTATCCAGTTACTCAGAATACATTGGGAGCTAAGTTACTGGGGTTATTTTACAAAGAATAGAATTCAAATTCAAGGGCTCCTCCCTGGTCCCCTCCCTCACACAGGGAGGGCTGGCTGGGACCATGGTGGTGAATGTGGTCTGCTTACCTGTTTTCAAATTTAGCTTTAGTGAGAAAAGTGGGGAAAGAGCATGGGACGGTGAATATAGTGCAAATACTGTGTACACATGTATGAAAATGGAAAAATAAGACCTGTCAAAACTATTCCAGGAATGAAGGGGAAATAAAGGAGAATGATGGAGGGGGTGAATTCAAGTATGATATATTTGATATATTGTAAGAACTTTTGTGAATGCCACAATGTACCTCCACCCAGCACAATAAAACTAAATTTTTAAGAATGTAGTTTCAGTCTGATTCCATTAAAAAATAAAGACATCCATTTGTGAGTATTCTACCTTTCAGGGATTCATCTTGCAATCTTTCCAAAAGCTCAAAGTTCGTTACCTCTAATAAATATCAGCTATGTTGTCAGTAATGTACAAGGTAACTAAAAGATCAGGTGCAAGGGAAGAAAAATTTAAAAAGGAAAAGCACACTTAATATAAGAAGAAACAATACCCAAGTACAGATGGTCATATTTTTAAGTGGAAGAATTGAAAAAGGGAAAGGATAACTTTCACATTTGCCTAAAGCAAAGCCTCTGCTGACTTCAGGGGAATTCTTACCCCTTTTACTAGCAATACAGTTGGGGGCATATATTAACATGATCAGGGTCATATTTTATTTTATTCATATATAAAAAAGAGGGGAGGACACTGCTGTGTGCCCATTAACAGTGTGTGTAAAAAGGAAAATAGATGTCTTTCAGGATGAAATCTAATAAATAATTGAGAACTCCTGTGATGCCTGATTTTACCATCAGATATTCATGTCTAACAATTCTTTCTAGATTGTCACTAGAAGCAAGATAAGTGTACATTCCAAAATAGCCCAGAGCTCACCTGGATTTGTGATACAAATTCTTCCTCTCTTTGCTAATTAAAAAGAGAGAAACCAACGTATTTCTTACCTACACATGATTTCATGTGTGAGCAAAACTCGGCACATTTCGGGGTTCTTGTCTTGGCCTTCATACACTATGGCCTGAAAGAAAAGACATGAGTTTAGCTGAAAATCAAACCAAGTAGCAGAACACATAGCATTACAATTGAGTTCTTGACCACTTCGCTCCTTCTGAGGTGAGGGCCAATTAGCTTTTAGCAGTCAAAAGCCTCCTTGTGCTCAGAATCAACCCAAATTGAGGGAAAAAGGGCACGTCCCTCTGCCCTGTCAGCAACCTTGTTATGATTCACAACTTTGGATCCGTGTGCGTGATGGACTTCTGTTGTCAAGACAACCATAATTCTTACTTCAATACAGAATAAAAATAAGGGAGGAAACCCTCAGAAGGCTGGGTAGCTCACAATACTATTTTTTTTAATGTAGAAAAGCATGTAGATTAGATTTTTAATGATACGTATTTGCATCCTTTCTTCAGCTCCAACATTTAGTGTCCTGGTGGTGGGTAGTAGAAAGCAAGTGAGTAAAACTAACGAGTACATTCACTGCCTGTGTCATTTTTTAAATGATTCACAATCAGGGAAAACCCCTCTTCTCACCAACAGGCTGGAAACGTGTGTGCTCACGGGGTATACACCCACCCAAACAGAAATACTCTTCAGCGTATGCTGTGTGCGTGTGTCGGCTTCAGCCATAGTTATCTCCCTAAACTAAGAAGAATGACATCCCCTGCTCAAAATTTGGAGTCTCAATCCACTTCAGGAGCCAAGATTTTTTTTTTTTTTTGTAATGTGCACACAAACATTTTGCTTCAGAACACCAAGCAGGTTCCCCAAGACCTCAGATTCCCTGGGGGTCTACCAGTTAATACATGGGCCAAAGGAAAAGCACACAGCTATTAGCAAAGCAGTGCTCTGCACTGGGATACATTTAGCTAATTTAACACTGTATCACTGCAGAATACTAATATAACACAGCTTCAAATTGCTAATAAAATTACTTTCACACATTCACAAAACCCTCAATTTCTTGGCAATAAAACTATTTAAATTAACCAGAGACTTCTTATGTAAAGAGAAAGATGCTGCAGGATCTCACTGGTAATTCCTTTCATTGTGCTTTGTTTTTGAAACTGGGACTTTTTGGTGGGGGGGAGGGTGGTACTAGGGTTCAAATTTAGTACTTCATGCTTGCCATGCTGGCACTTTACTACTTGAGCCAAACCTCCAGCCTTTTATTTTTTATTTATTTATTTATTTTTTTGCTTTGGTGATTTTGGAGATGGAGTCTTGCTTTTAGCAGGGGCTGGCCTGGATCATGAGTCTTCTATTTATGCTTTTCACAGTAGCTGGGATGACAGGTGCACACCATCACACCCAGTTTTTTCTGTTGAGAATGCGTCTCATGAATGTTTTGCCCAAGCTGGCCTTCAAACCAAGATCTCTGCCTCCTGAGTAGCTAAGATTACAGGTGTTAGCCACCAGCACCCAGCTTGAAGCTGGGACTTTCAAAACCTGCAAAGAACAGGTTTAGCTTAATATCCAGTATGTTCAGATCCTTACAACAAATGCTGGCTATGCTATCTGACTGTATGACAATATAAACTTTGCAACAAATTAAAAATTGAGGAAAAGTACTTGCACAAGGAAAAAAACATTTCTCTACCATTAGCCCATCAAAACCATTTTTGTGGCTATCCCATCATAATTACTTTTTTAAAAACGTGTTTACTTTGACATAATTTAGATTTGCAGAAAAGTTGAAATATATAAAGAAGTGCAGAATATTTATTACCCAGATTTCTCAGCTATTTGTATTGTTTCCTTAAACTTGCTTTATGTTTTTCTTTTCCCTAAATTACTTTTTATTAAAATGCAGATATGTCCACAATATTTCAACATGTATTTCCTAAAAACGAGGACTTCTCATGCATAACTACAGTACAATTATCTAAATCAGAAAATTAACATGGATACAATACAATAACCTAATCTCTAGACCTTATTGAGAGCTACCAATTAGCCAATAATGTCCTTTACAGCCAAAGGAAATCCTATACTAATCACTGCACTCAGCTGTCATGTCTCCTTTAATAAGGAACATTCAGGAGTATTTAGACTTCATGACATTGACATTGTTGAAGAGAACAGTCCTCAGTTTGGGTTTGTCCAAGTCTCTAGGGCTCAAATCAAGTTCCGTATTTCCGAGAAGGAATACAAGAGAGGTGAGGCTGAGTTCTCTGAATCGGGCCACACTGCTGACTAGTCCACTATCAGCATCATAAACTGACCACTTGCGTAGATGCCTGCCATCCACCAATGATCATAAACCACTGTAAAGTTACTCCTTTACCCCATGTAGGGTCTGGAGGTGTGGCTCAAGTGGTTGAGTACCTGCCTGGGAAGCTCGAGGCCCTGAGTTCAAACCCCAGGCCCACCAAAAAAAAAAAAAAAACACCTTACCCCATGTGATTCGTAACCGTCTTCCAAGGAAATAGTCTACGTTATGTTAGTTATCCTATTATGGTTCAGATTTTCATCCACTAGATTAGCACACATGCATGCGTCTTTCCTATGTTCTTGAAACACCTTTTATACTCCCAGGAAGCTGCTTCACTCAAAAAAATACATTAATTAAAAATCTTCTGGAAACCAATAATTATATCTGCCTGCTTTATTTCCTGCAATCACTGCTCAGAAATTTTTTTAAAACCATAGTAAATTACCGATTAGATCTCACATATGCGCTAAAAACTTCTCCTGATGCATTTCTACTACATTCTATTATCACTAGTTGTATGTTCTCTTAATACTCAAGATAACCTCTGTTTCAACTTCAGTATTTGTCTTGCTAAACTAAAACAAATAACGTATCATAGATATTGGTGAGGTTTCCTCAATTATTAAAAAAAAATAGTTTGATTTGGATTTTGGCAGGGGAGGACAGTTACATCAGATCTCATTTTGATTCTTTCTAGATTCTATGCCACTGTGGTGCAGCGACTAGTCCCATTGGCATGAGTGGGGCCATCACGATAGTCCATGAAAGGTACACTTGAAGCAAGTGACTCCTCCAAACAGTGGATGACTTGCACTTCCAGAAGTCCCGTGTTTTCTCTTGGATAAATGAGCATCTCACTTGTTGAAGGCTCAGAGCCTCTGTAAAACATCCCTTTACCAAATACCAAACTGTCACTTCATTTCTGGCAGCAGAGTCAAAACAGAGAATCTTTTTCCAAATCAAGCATAGAAAAATGAAACCATGGTTTTGGATTTGCTCAGAAAGAATTAAGAACCCTGGGGAAGGGTTGAAGCATAAAGTTTCTGCCCCTCTCTCCTTGGGCCTATACAGACAAGATTTCTCAGCACATAAAGGCAGAGAAAGAAGTGTTGCTTCTGTGACTTCTGAAATAAAACTGAGTGCAATGCCACCATAGAATAGCATTAAAATCCTGTAACTGGGGTGAATTAGACCGTCACTTTTAGGGTGGTAAGCTTTTGAGTGCAATTCAGAGACAGAGCCACCTCCAACCCCACTCAAGCAGTGTGTTGCTACTGGAAAGGCTTGTTAAGACACACACACACGCACACACACACCCCATGATACAGAATGTACGAGCCCAGAAATCAACATTCTGATAAGGAAAATATAGGAAGATATGATAAACGCACTTGTGATCATATCCAGTGCATTGGCAACAATAAAACACACTTTCTTCTTTTTTTTTTTTTTAATGTCACCAAGTTCTCCCTCTCGCTTGCACCTCCTTCTGAAAGTCTCTGATTAACAATCTACCATCCAGTTAGCACACATGTCAAGACTGGTTCACTACCCAGCAAATCCAGACTGTAAACCCCAGAGGATAGGGGTCCTCTCATACCAACTCAAGAAGAAAAGCAGAAACTCCCCCTCATTTAAATATGTGCTTCTGTGGGGGTAAGACTGGAACCCTTGCTGAGAGATCCCAGGAACACACAAACAGCATTGACTATTTTAAGGGAGACCATTTTAATAGACAGCTGGTTTAGGGTCCAGACAATAGAGCACCAAGAAGAAGGCTTATTGTCATCCTCACAGTAAATCATGTATCTACTCACAGAGGGGAAGGTATTCTGCTGTGAGAACGACAAAAACAACAGTGGCTTAAATAAATCAATGTATTTTAGCAGGAGTGAGGCTGAGAGGCCTGCTACCAAGCTGGGTGGAAGAGAGAGAGAAAATATATCAAATACATTATTTAATAAATCAATTGATGGTGAATCAAGTTGAGGTTTGCAACCTTAGAAAGAAGTAGTACAATATCAAGTAGAAAATGGTGTTTTTATTAACCCTGCCAAATGTTAAATCAAGGAGGGATTCTTCTACAGGACGAAAAATAAAGTAGCAAACAGCAATAACTTTATCTCAACTTTAAGAACCTGGTGATCTCAACAAACAAGTTGTCAAAACTAAACATCTTTGGAATTTTATTTTTCCGGATATACTTGTCTCACTTTTTATTTTTATTTATTTATTTATTTTTTTTTTATTTTTTTTTTTCACAATGAAAAACTTTAATCACTTTAGGAAGAGGTGTGCAATCTTAGAGAGCTGCCAAAAGAGAAGATTCTCAAAATCCAAGTCATCTCTTAAATGTGAGGAGGAGGTGTGGCATAAGAAGTACAATACCTGCTTTACAAGTGCAAAGCCCTGAGTTCAAACACAATTCCACCAAAAAATATGTAATACATCTATTTAGGTAGCATTAAAGAGATGCTGAAAATTGTCAATTATAAGATGATTTTGTAAAGGATGCTTGTCTCACTTTTTAGAATGTCAACCTCAAGTGAGCAGAGAGAAACAATAATCAGAAAAATGAATAATTTTTTAACACTCTTTTCACTTTCACATTGAGAGTTTTTTCCACAACATCTTTTTTATAATTAACTAAAGGGAAAAAAAGGCAGAGGAATGGTTAAACTTTCACACCTTAATGTAACAATAGTGCTAGAAATTTTACTGTCAGAGAATAAAATACCATTAACTTCAAATGCTCAGTTATAAATTAACCTGAAACATCTTTGAAAATTAATCAATCAAGTACT